GGTGGATGCACTCCTTCGAGAGATCAATCATGGGAGAAGGAAGGGTTGTTTATGCACAGGGAGACAGCTCAGGGGGCAAGAGTACATGGAGGGATGGACACAGGGAAGAGGTAGCTATCAGGAGGAAGTGGGAGGGGAGCCGTTGCATTGGGGTAAATTGTAGCCAATGTCATGAGACAAAGTGTATGTGAACTATTGTATGGAAAGTGAATTTTCACCCAAATCACATATAAATAAATTAAATAAATAGCTAGACAGATAAATAAATAAATAAAAGATTAAAAAAGAGAGAGAGAGAGTGCTTACCACCAATCTACCTCATGTGACTATTGGTGTGCTCCTTCTGTGTTTAATAAATCTTTGCTGAATATTTGTAGAATGAAGGGGTGAATTAATACTAGAAAGAAAGCAAATAAGCCAGGAAATAGATCATGTGGGGGGCCTGACTAGAGACAGGTGCCTTGGACCAGCAGAAGCCCCATGATCTCTGTGCCTACAACCCCATATGAAAAGCTGGGCAGGCTTAAAACAGAACTTGAAGACCTAAACCCCAGGTGCAGCTTTAGACCTGAAATCTCTACATTCTACAAGCTGTCAAACGCTGAGGAAGATGGTTTTTAAATAAGGTGAGATCACATTTTGGAAATCAGCTGTAGCGCGGCCTAAGCTGGGGTGGGAAGGCGACAATAAAGGGTGGATGAGATCAGAAGTGACAATGCTTAAAAGGTCACCTTAACCACCAGGCATATTTGGTAATTTAGCATCTCAGGAAAGGTCCTGAAAGAGAGAAAAATCAGATTGTAGGCCCACTTCCTGCTCTTGTCTTTGCAGGAATTTATAATGAATGGAACACTGGTGGTGCAATGTTAAAGCACTCAGCTGCTAACCAAAAGGTTGGTGGTTTGAACCTACCCAGCGGTTCTGCAGGTGAAAGACCTGGCAATCAGTTCCCATAAAGATTACAGCCTAGAATCTCTGGGGGCAGTTCTGCTATGTCACGTGGCGTCAACATGAGTCAAAATCAGCTCAACAACACACAACAACATAAAGCATGGTGAACCAAGGTAACTTGTTTGTTGCCTTTTTAAAGGCTACAGCCCCAATCTCTGAATCAAAGTCCCAGATACTTATAACTAGATCAACATAACCTACCAATGAATACTTTCATAAATCAATACCACCACCCTGCCTTACCCCAGATCATCTCTTACTAATTATCACAAACTCTTTCTCGTGGCGGAGCTCTGGTGGTATCATGGTTAAAGCATTTGGTTGTTAACCAAAAAGGTCAGTGGTTCAAACCCATCAGCTGCTTCATCAAAGAAAGATGAAGCAGTCTGCTTCCATAAAGATTTGCAGCCTTGGAAACCCTATGAGGGTCGCCATGAGTCAGAATCAACTCGATGGCAGTGAGTTTGGTTTTTTTGGTATTCCTCATCGACAAAGAAGAATACCTTTCTTACTCAGTACCTGAAAAGAACTTTTGTCTATTTCCCTCATTCTTAACTTGTATATTCTAAAATGAAATTCCTTGTAAGTCCATCTCTAATTTATTCCTTGGTACAGAGAATTAAGACATCAGGCATTAATGACTTAAACTTAAATAATAATAATAATAATAATAATACATCTGTTCTCCTTAACCTTAACCTCAGAAAAGTACATACTTCTCCATTAGGAACAGAACAAGAAAGCAGATAAACACAAAGACACCCTTCCTTTACCCTTCAAAGTTACTAACACCACTACATGCACATACTTTGGAGATTTAAACCATGAAAATGCCAGATTTTGAACCCAGGTGATCTGGGTTTTCTAACTGATCTGACATATTTTAATAGAAACAAATAGATTGAAACAACAGCCAGACACCAGCAAGCATTGAGGGAGTTATGCTGTCTCTAAAAATGGGACAGGCATTGCAACCATCACACAAAGCTCTTCGGCCAAGGGTCATGAAAATCAAAAATACAATTGGAAGGTCATTTGAGAGCCTCTGGTATAGAGCATGGTCAGGAAATGGCGTATCTTGGTCAAGCAAATATTCTGGTGATGAGAAAAGTGGAAACACACACACCAATCAGACAGGCACTGCCAGCTCTCAACTTTGTATTAAAACTCAGTGAACTGGGACTGGAAGAACCAGGTGGTGCCCAGCTACCACTATCAACTATTCTGACCAGGGACATAGTAGAAAATCCCAGACAAAATAAGAGAAAAATGGAGAACAAAACTCTAATTCCTAAAAAAGGCCAGACCTACTAGATCGATAGAAACTAGAGGAACTCCTGACTTTATTGTCCTAAGATATCCTTTGAACTTGAAAATCAAGCTACTTCTCTGCAGGTCACCTTTCAGTCAAATAACAGACTGACTTAAAAATTAATGGTATCACTTGTGAATAACATGCTCCCTTAAAACAATTAACTACATAAGACCAGTCAACAGTTACTCAAAAGCAAAGATGAGATGGCAAGGAAGCTAGATGAATGAAAACAGAACAAACAGAATGGAAACAGTAAGAATGATGACACCCTATAAAATGTGTATAAATTTTGTTACAGGAGAACCTAATTTGCTGTGCGAACTTTCATCTAAAACACAATAAAATAGTATTTAAAAATAACTCACTTAAATTGCTTTATCCTCCTTTGACACTTCATAAGAAGCTCATAGGTAATTGTGCGTTGTTAGTCTTATGAAGCAGGAAAACCCTGATCACCAGAATACCCATCAACAGTTTCCAGTATAAAAGCTGAATGGCTAAAACTGCTTTTCTTCCTGGCTTAGTATCAAATACCACAAATATCTTATACATATCCTTGAACACTGAATGTTTTAAAAATCAATATAAAAATTTATTAACCCTTCTTTTTGCCTTCTAATTCTTCAAAATCCAGTGTGTAGTTTACAGCACAGCTCAATTCAAATGAGATCCATTTCAAGTGCTTACCAGCCACCTGTGGCTAGGAGCACTGAATTTTGATGCAGCAAAAGTAAAAACTACAGTTGCCCAAGCTTCCCCTTACTCCACAGTCTGGCAGCTCTTAAGGACATACAGTAGCTGGGGAAAAGTAATCTGTTGGCCTCCTCATCTTCCTCTCAGCAGGGGACAGCATGGCAGGTATGGTCCCATCCGATCTCATTGAAGGACAATTAGAAACCACCAAGAGTCTCCTCCCCGGGGCCCCCTCCACAGGCCCCGCTGCAGCCAGCCCTCTGGTGACCAGGTATCGCTCGCTGGAGGCCACCAACAGCCGCCTTCCCAGCCTCCTCACCTCTCCTCGTTGATGCCACACATGCGAATCCGGTCAGAACTGGTCCAGTTGTGCACGCCGCTGTAGAGCGGTGCCGTAGAGATCATGACAGCCACTCACCATCAGATAGGACCTGCTGTGGCCAATCCCCCTGGGGAAAATAAAGAATCCAAAAAGAAATCAGAATTCGTAACAGGGACAGCTGCTCTAACCACCTTCCACACAGAAACTAATTTAAATAAAAGGAATTACAGCATCACAATGTTAAAGGCAGCCTGCGATGGAAGAATATGGTCCAGGCGAGGATGAGGGGACTCCAGCTTTCCAGGAATCCCTAAGTTGCAGGATGGAGACAAGGCCACTGGCAATCACCTAGAGTGATTTTTAAATTATCCTAAAGACAGAGTGTTAGAGGAAATTCAATCTATTTCAGATAAATGAGGTTTTTCTATACACATTTAGCCTAACCAACTACAATTAGAGGGTCGTATCAGTAGGAGCTCTGGTGGCGTAGTGCCTAAGGCATTAGACTGCTAACCAGAAGGCTGGCGGTTCAAACCCACCAGCCACTCCTCGGAAGGAAGGTTGGACAATCTACTTCCGTAGTGATACCGCTTCAGAAACCCAAGGAGGGATCACTGTGAGTTGGGGCCGACTTGATGGCACATAACAACAACAACAACATCTGTATCTGAATAGTGCATTGAAAGACTGCTGGGGATCTGTCTCTCTTCTACTCTCTAATCCATGCACACTCAAGTATGTGAGTGACGGAGCCAATTGAAGCTCTCCAGAGGAGGTGCATGCTTTCTTTATAAGCCCTTCAAAAATACTCTATTCTGATTTCAAGCTGGACATCATGGATTACATCTAACCTGGTTTAAAGCTCCTTCCAAGTCAGATTCAATCCTCCCTGTAGTCTGATCACGAATAAGCAAACAAACAAAAGATGGTCCACCAAGGACCACACGTTTCTGTTCTTGTCCTTTCCTGTTTGTCTGTTACCCCCATAGCACCCCTCTCATGAGCCATAGCACCCCTCTCATGAGCCAATGTCTGGCTCTCGCTGTCGATGCCCACTGCACAGCCAGGTCACCTTCTAAAGAAAATGAAGCAGCAAGAAAAGAAGAGATTTATCCAGTGAACCTGACTCAAGAGCCTTAAACTCCTGAGTTAATTTATTAGCTGAAATCCTTATTCATCCAAGCGCAACTGAAAAGGACTCTAAGTTGATCAGAATATTATGCTGTTTTCCACATGCCACAGAAAGAAACAAATCACACATCGGGGCTTTGTTCCATTTACCTTATATATAATTGTCAGAGGTTATTAAGCTCCTACTGTATGCCAACATTGTTGTAAAACACTGTTTCAATGTTCAACTCATAGCAACTCCGTGGGTCAGTGTGGAACAACTCCAGTGCGTTTTCTGGGCTGCAATCTTCATGGAAGCATAAAGTCAGGTCTTTCTATCGTGGAACTGCTAGGTGCGTTCAAACTGCCAACCCTGTGGTTAACAACTGAGAGTTTAACCACTGTGCCACCAGAGGTTGTTCTAAGCATTAAGGGTTCAACAATTAATAAAACAGGTCCAGAGTGGCTGTCTTCTTGGAGCTTACTTTCTAGGGGGAGGAGACAGGCAATCAACAGAGTAAATAATTTGTTGTTGCTGCTGTCGAGCTGGCCCTGACTCATGGCAACCCCACACAATGCAACAGAAAGGTGCTCATTCTTGCACCATCTCCATGACTGGTTGTGGAACGGACCCCCGGGGAGGAGACTCTTGGTGGTTTCTAATAGTCCCTCAACAAGATCGGATGGGGCCATATCTGTCATGCTGTGCCTGCTGAGAGGAAGATGAGGAGGCCAACAGATTACTTTTTCCCAGCTAGTGTATGTCCTTAAGAGCTGCCAGACTGTGGAGTAAGGCTTAGGCAACTGAAGTTTTTACTTTTGCTCCATAAAAATTCAGTGCTCCTAGCCACAGGTGGCTGGTAAGCACTTGAAATGGATCTCATTTGAATTGAGCTGGGCTGTAAACCACACGCTGGATTTTGAAGAATTGGAAAGGATGGAAATGTGCTCGTCATGGGCCCTTGTGCTCCACCCCGTTTTCACTGGCTGACTGGCAGAAGTAGATTGCCAGGCTCTTCTCCCTGGTTCATCTTAGGCTGGACATTCTGCTGAAACCTGGTCGGCATCGTTAACAACACGCAAGTCTCCCCTGGCAGTTGGTAGCCACACGTTAGATGTACTAGGCAGGAATATAACTCAGGTCTCCCACGTTGAAAGCGAACATTCTGCTGTCAAACCACCACTGCCCCCCCCCATTCTGGGGGAAAACCAAACCCAACCCACTGGTATCGAGTCAATTTCGACTCATACTGACCCTACAGGGCAGAGTAGAACTGGCCCATAGGGTTCCAAGGCTGTGAATCTTTACAGAAGCAGACTGCCATATCTTTCTCTTGCAGAGGGGCTGGTGGGTTCGAACCGCCAACCTTTTAGATAGCAGCCAAATGCTTTAATCACTGCACCACCACAGCTCCTCATCCTGTGGGAAGTGGACTACAATTGGAAATAGGGTGATCAGAGTAGGCCTTGCTGAGAAAGTGACATTTAAGCATCCTGAAAGAGGTGGGAGAAAGCATTCCCGGCAGAGGAACAATTTAGGTGAAGGTCCTGAAGCAGAAGGCCATCTGCTGTGACCAAGGAAGAGCCAGGAGGCCAGTGGGGCTGGCACAGAGGAAGGGAGCAAGGAAGAGGTGGTAAACAACCTATCGGAGAAGGGGCGACTCCTTCTTTTCCTGGTCCTCATCCTACTCACCATCTTGGCAGCATGGGATTCTGCTGCCCCCTCACCCTGCTTCCTCATCCATTTCCCTCTTATTTCCTGACCTTGTCCCTGCTGGCATGTCTGGGGCCCTTCTCTGCCAATCTCCCTCTAGCCACCCCCAAAACTTCAGCATTCAGCAAGGTCCTCACCTTATCCTCTGCCTCTCCTCACCCCTGCCACCTTTCCTATCTTGCCCCCTTTCTATTTCCTTCCTAGCCCGCCCTCTCTCCCTGTCCCTTCAGCCTTCCCTCAGAATCCTATTCCTTCCCCTTTTCATTTGTTGTTGCTGTTGAGAATAGACACAGAACATACACCAATTCAACAATTTCTCTATGTACAATTCAGTGATGTAGATTACATTCAAGTTACGCAACCATTCTCACCCGCTTTTTCTGAGTTACTCCTCCCTCATTAACACACTCACTGCCCCCTAGGGTGCCTATCTAACCTTTCAAGTTGCTGTTGTCAATTTGATTCCATGTATCCCTCCTATCTTTTTATTCCTCCTCCTACTTCTCTATCTCTTTTCCTTTTCATTATCTTCCTCTTCCCCAACCACTCTCCCAGCTAACTCTCTTCCCCGTTCTCTTTCCCCCCTTAACTCTCTGCGCATCCCTTCTTCAACTTTCTCCCCCTGCCCACCTCTCTTCCTCCTGGCCTTCCCTCCTTTTTATAACGCTGTCCCCATGTCCCCCAGTCCCCGCTTCTGACTCTCTGCCCTCCTCTCCTCCCTTGCTTCCACCTATCCTGCCTCTTCCTTTTCTTTTCCTCTCCTCTTCATCCTGCCTCTGCCTTCCTTTCTGTATTTGCCTCCTTCTGTCTCTCTTTGCCCCCTTCTCTTTCTCTCTCTATTTAGGCCTAGCCGTCTCTCTACTCTTTCTGGCTCTCCCCCATTCTCATCTCTCCCCCATGTGTCTATGTCTGCCCTGTCCCTTCTTCTCCTTCAGCTCATGAGCTCCCTACAGTTCACCTCTCCTCTTCATGTGCTCAAAACTCCTAAGTCTGTATCTAGCCCTGACCTCTTCTTCTTAGGTCCAGATCAGAATTTCTAGCTGCCAGCCACACATTGCTAATTGGCTGTCTACCCAGCCCCTCAAACTCAACATGTCTCAAACTGCACTGATTATCTTTTCCCATAAACTTGCTCCCCCCGCGCCCCCCCCCCCACATGTTTCCTATCTTAGTTAATAGCACTACTATTCCCTAGTCTGGAAATTTCTGCATTGTCTTCAACTCCTCTCCCCTACTGCCCACACCCAATCAGGAGTCAAGCCTTAACAATGCCATCTCCAGCCTCTCCTGTACCCCTCTCTCCCACTACCCCGATGTAGGCCCTCATCAACTCTCACCCAGAATATTACAAGAGCCTCTTAAATGGTCCCTCTGCCTCCAATCTCTTGATTCTACAATCAATTTGTCTTCTAAAGTACAAGTTTGATCACATCACCCCCTCCCGCCTCAAAAGCTTTCAATAGCTTTCCTCTGCCTTCAAAATCAAGCCCGCATTTCTTAGCAAAGCATTCAGGGCCCACCATGACCTAGACTCAGGCCTCCTGCTTAGCCTCCTTTTCCACCACATCCTGCCATTTCTCTGCCTCCCCTGCCACCCTCAGCTCCTGACCCTTCCCTAAACAGACCAGCCCAGTTCAGGACTCTGCTGTTTCTTCATCCTGAAACAGCCTCTCCCATGCCTCCTCTTCCTCTGTCTGTCATCCTTCAAGGCCTAGCTTAAAAATCATCCCCATAGGCCTAGGCCCCATCAAAGTTAACCCTTCCCTCTCTGGTTCTCCTTAAACATTTAATTTATACCTCTACCACAGCACTGATTCTTACTCGCCTCTGCAGCATGGTTATCTGCTGGCTACCCAATGGCAAGCTAGTGGCATGGCGTGATGGTTAGCTACTTAAGGTAAGAGAGCTTTTCCTTTTTGTCTCTGGTTTCTCAAAATGTCTTACATACAGTAAATCCACTGCCACTGAGTCAATTCTGATTCACAGCGACCCCTTCAGGGTTTCCAAGGTTGTAAATCTTTACAAAAGCAGACTACCTCATCTTTATTCCATGGAGTGGTTGGTACTTTCAAACCACTGACCTTTAGGTTAGCAGCAAAATGCTACACCACCAGAATGTCTTTACATATACTAAGTACTCAATAAATGTATGTTATATAGAACTGAATTCTGGATGAAAAGTGAGGTGAAGACCCTGAGAAATTATAAGAAGAAAAAAAGAAAAGGTGCTCACCATGCTAACTTACTGCAGAAAAACATTTTGTACGTCAGTGAGAAAACTACACAATGTCTACAGCTCCCCC